CATAAACACGTCCAGAGGTCCAGCTCAGGTGAAGCTAGAAGACCACCTGTCAGAGGCCACGCCCCCAATAATGCAAACATTAAGCCTTAATCAAATCTAAACAGGTTTGAAGTATCACTAGAGACTCTAAACATGTTTATTTTAACATGGGAGTCTATGGGACTGACTCAGTGCTGCTCCTGCTGGACGTCAGAGGAACTGCAGGTGTGAGGTTCAGGTGTTGTCAGTCTGAATGTTCAACAGTAACGTGTTTGTTTAAAGAACTGAAGGTTTTATTGTCTTCAGACGCTGCAGCAGTGACTGACTCTTCTTCTTCTTCTGCAGATTCTCTCCATCAGGTTCTGTCGGAGTTCGCCATCATTCGTCCAATCAGGACAGACTCAGAGGGGCGCTTCCTGTCAGGTTCCATCTCAGCTCGCCAGCTACAGCGCAGGAAAAGACACGCCCCCTTAGCAGAGGACACACCCACCGACTTTAATGACAGACATATGGACACACCCTTTTCACAACAGGCTCCGCCCAGTCACGGTTGGTGGGGGCAGAGTCACATGACAGAGGAGGCGGAGCTTTTCTATAATGTGACTGCCTTCGGGCAGGAACTGCACCTACACCTGCATCCCAACTCTCGCCTCGTCGCCCCCACCGCCACCATGGAGTGGGAGGAGTCAGGACAGCACCACTCTCAGCCAATAGAAGACACCGGCTGCTTCTACACGGGAACTGTGTCCAACATGGAGGGTACGTCAGTCGCCATCAGCAACTGTGATGGACTGGTATGTATCACATGACCCAATCGTCTTACAGCTGTTTGATCAGAGCAAAGGTTCCCAATCTCCAGGTCGTGGACCAATCCTGGGTCATGTGAACTTAGTCACAGGGTCCCATGTAACCAGTGCCTGACGTTCCTGTGAAGAACCTCTAACACGGTTCCTGCACTGTGACTTAAGTGAGCGGTAGTGTCAGAGCTGCGGGAGGGTCCACAGGTCACTGAGCATCCTCAGCTGACCTGCCAACACCATCACCAGGGTGGAGTTGACGGCGTGACCTCCACCCTGATGAGTTCAGAGGAGATGGGACTCTGGACGTCCTCCTCGTGTCTCCGAGGAGCTGAAACAAAGTCAATGATCGGCTCGTTCAGTGATCACATTCACAGATGTTTCTCCTGACAACATCCTTCAGCTCTCTGCGGGTTTGTTGTTTTAGCTAATGTTTAGCTAACATTTAGCTAACGTTTAGCTAACATTTAGCTAATGTTTAGCTAACGTTTAGCTAACGTTTAGCTAACATTTAGCTAACGTTTAGCTATCACCTGGTCGTTATGCCGTGGAGAATCATCAGCACAGCAGGCTGCAGACATGCAGGTGGTTCTTTCTACAGCTCACTGTAAAGAAACAGACTTTATTTAATTATCCCACAGAAACTCACTTCAGCACCAGGGACAGGAAGAAAAGAAATCAAATCAAACAGCTTCTCAGGTGTGTTTTTTCTACACCTCTTTGCTTCTTGCAGTAAAGTTTTGAACGTGTTTGTGGCGTTCTGTTGTGCGGACAGCGCTCGCCTCACTGTCACCGCTCTCTGAGCCAGACGCTCGCGTCCTGTTCATCACGGTCCTCTGATGCTGACGGCGGTGAGCTGAGCGAGGCGTGTCTGCAGTCATGGACTGCTGTTACTAAAGTGCTCTGTGACTCAGGCTTTCATGAATAAATATCACACGATTGTTAAACAGTGATGAGA